CAGCAGTCTCAATGCCCGGGTCGGGCGGAAAACACCGGTAACAGTCACCCTCATCACTAATAGTCACAGTATACATGGCAGCAAGAATAGCATCAAAGTCAAGGTCAAAGACAGCTACACCCGCCCTAGACAGCTCACCCCAGCGGGGGATCTCAGTGGCCTCAGGGAACTGGTGACGCCAAGCGTCCGTCAGGCGGCCAAAGCAGCGCTGGGTGGAGTGCGCACCCCCGCACTGCTCACCCGCGCGGTCGCCGGTGCGTAGGACGTAGGTGCACGGGCCAGTACCCCCAGGCCGCTGGCGAGAAGCGTACCACTCACGGAGCTGCTGAGGGGAGGGGATGTCACGAGTGCGCTGCTGCTGCTGCTGCTGCTGGCGCTGACCACCACCGGAGCCGCCCCTCTGTGCAGCGCCACCCCGACCAGCTCCACCTCCTCCGCCGCCTCCTCCTCCACCGCCGCCACCTCCGCTCCCACCGCCACCGCCACCGCCGCCTCCGCCTCCACTGCCGCCACCGACACCTCCGCCCCCGCCACCACTCCACCGCCACCCCCACCCCCTCCACCGCCTCCACCGCCGCCTCCACCGCCCCCGCTAGCTCCTCCAGTGCCCCTGCCCCCCTTGCCCTTGCCAGGGCGACGTCTCCCGCTAGGGGTAGACGCCGCACCGACCGACTCAAGCCCAACGAGGTCGGCCGCAGCAGCAGAGGCAACAGAGGGCAAAAGGGGGGAGGGGGAACACCCCTCAAAGATGGGGGTGCGAGGGTCACCACGAGAGGCTCCTACAGCGACTATGCTCTTCTCTGCTGCTAGGAGGGACTTCTCGAGGAGGTCAACGGTGAGAGTGGTGGGGCAAACGGAGAGGAAGTGGTCCCTGACTACGCGAAGGGAGTCAGGGAGCCGGGTGCCTATGTAGTAGAGGGTGATGTACATGGGGGGGGGGGTTCTTGGCGCAGAACTCAGCAGGAAGCGCAGCGCGGTAGCGAGTGTCACTAGTGCGGAGGTGCGTAATGAGGTCAGCGACTGTGGGAAAGGCAGCAAGGTCAGGGAAGAGGTACGGTAGCATGAGGCGGCTCAGTGCAGCAGTGGCAGGGGAGGAGTAGCGCATAACTACAGCGTCGTACAAGGTCTGAGCACTCTTGTACTGGCTAAAGTGCGCACGCTCAGAGGTAGGCAGGTGGCGACGCACAGCATCGCGAGTGGCCCACTGTGAGCGAACATTAGCGTCGGCATCAGCAGCAGGGGCAGGAGAGGCACCAGAGGTGAGGTCAAAGAGGGAGAGACCGTCTGCCCTATCGCACTGTAGGAAAAGCTGCAGGTCATCTACCCAGACGTCAAAGTCAATGGCCCGACCCTCAGCGTCAAAGGCGAGGACACTAGGGGTAGCCATGACAGCAGTAGACTAGCAGCGCGAACAGTAGGGTGAGGGCAGTGCAGGGACAGAGGCGCTGCACTTACCGGACAGGGCGACTCGGGTGGCTCAGCGGCTCGGCGGCTCGGCAACTCGGCGGCTCGGGCGGCTCGGGCGGCTCGGCGGTACGGCGGCTCGGCAGCAAGCACGGCTCGGCGACACGGCGGCTCGGGCGGCTCGGGCGGTACGGCGGCTCAGGCGGTACGGCGGCTCGGCGGTACGGGCGGCTCAGGTGGCGCGGCGAGGCCGCGTGGGGAGCGGCGGCGGGGCCGAGTGGAGCGGCGTCGGCGGGTGCAGTCAGCTGCGGCAGCAGCCGCGGCCCCGAGGGAGGTGGTGGCGGCTGCTGCTGGCGACGGCTGCGGCTGCTGCTGCAGGGACGGCAGCGGCCGCTGCGGTAGGGGCGGCGACAGTGGGCCGGAGAGGGCGGTGCGAGGGGCCGCGGAGGGCGGCGACGGGCCGTAGGGGGGGGGGGGGGGGGGGGGGGGGGGCGTGAGGGGCCGCGGGAGGGGCCGTAAGGGGCGTAAGGGGCCGCACGAGGGGCCGGAAGGGACGGCGCGAGGGGCCGTAAGGGGCCGTAAGGGGCCGCTGAGGGCGGTGCGAGGGGCCGACGGGCGACGCGAGGGGCCGTAAGGGGCCGTAAGGGGCCGCGCGAGGGGCCGTAAGGGGCCGTAAGGGGCCGACGGGCGGCACGAGGGGCCGTAAGGGGCCGTAAGGGGCCGCGCTAGGGGCCGTAAGGGGCCGTAAGGGGCCGCGCTAGGGGCCGTAAGGGACGGCGCGAGGGGCCGTAAGGGGCCGCTAAGGGCGACGCGAGGGGCCGTGAGGGGTCGTGAGAGGGCGCGACTGTGGGAGCGAAGCGCGCTCCGGGCAGGAAAAAAAAATTTCGTGGTGGGCCCTAGGAAGCGTTCCCACTAGGGAACCTGCTCGATACTATGAGAAGAAACGAGGAATGGATGAACTATGAATGAATTGGGTACAAGTACTAACCCTAATTGGGTTGTACCCCTTATGGGCTACCCCACTATAGCCTACACAATATGCATGAGCTATAATGTTCTGACACTACTGTCAGTAGAGCTACACTGTGAGATCCCCGATCGATCCTAGGGGGGGTTACAGGCGCGTTTGCCTGGGGGGTTATGGGCGCACTGACCCGCTACTGAAACAAGCCCTTTTATCCCAATGGTCTGACAGCTACCTCCGCAAAAACAATTCTATGTTTCAGAGCTTCCACATGAGCGTTAACAAAGGTTGCGCACATTCCATTTGATCATGGTTAAAATTTCATGTGCTTATGCTGGAAAACCTGTGTTTTCTGAAGTATGACCACACAAGCGGAACTACACCTGTCTACCGAATTTCCCAGGCAAATGCTGTCCGTTACTGTATATATTACCTGAGAAGTGTACCCGAACCTGCTTTTCACGAGCTTGAGGCCCACAGATGTGTCATTTTGACAGGCGAGCAGATGTGTGAAAACATTCCCCACTCTAAGGACGTGGGCCCAATCGACTTTGATCAGCTCTGATCGGATCGGGTTGGGTCGGATCGGATTGCTTGTGATCGTTTTTCTCGCGCCTTCCGATCAGAGATGATTTTCCTCGAATGTTTTGCGCTCTTGCATGAAAACTGTCGGCCCATAACCTGGTAGTTGCATCCCAACTTTGGCGAGACGGACGAATCTCAGTATCATGGTAATGTCGCCAACATCGCCCGCACCGCACAAGGTCCGCACGATGGCTATGGCATACAGTTATCGCCGATCTGGGTGTATTCGCAAGGATTTTCGAGACCTCATGGCGAGACGTGTTAGATTTCGCGTACGTCGCCCAGGTCGCCGATCACATGCAATCAAGTGATTGGGGCTGATTGTGTCTGATCAGGTCTGATCGGGCTGTTTGAGGCGATTGATTGAGTTGGCGCGATCAGCTGATTGCCCCCGATTGCCAGAAATCTGTTTCCCGCCTTCCTCGAAGCTTTTGATCGCCTCTGATCGCGCCGATCAAAGTCGATTGGGCCCACGTCCTAACCCCCCACCCCGCCTCCCCCCAAACACCACCACCGAGCTCCCCCCAACCCCCTCCCATTCACCCTGCCTTCCAGCCCCCTATTCCCAGGTAGAAACCCCTTAAAGGCGGGGTGCAACTTCTTAGGAGTAGTAGCAGGACAAACATGGAGTGTGCGTAACGAGACCCTTATTGGATGAAAAAAATGGAATCTCGGAGAAGACAAACTTCTCGCCACAGAACTGCCTGGGACAACCAAGTTCCAAGCTATAATACTTCGAAGTTGAAGCTGATAGTTGGGCCACGGCTTTAATTAGGATGCGGCACCTCTAGCACCGATCTTGCGATCGATCCTGCGGACGATCAAATGTTTTAGGAGTTTAAAATGGTTCCGAAATATTTAAATGTTTTTAGCAGGATTTCAGTACTGTTGAATCAGCGATCCTGCGATCGATCGTGCAAAATTGCTTGAGTTGTCGCATCCTTAGACTACACTGATATAGGGCAAAGGTGAAATCCTGGTTCTGCTCACCATCCAAAACAAGTGGGAGTTTGGGTGTTCACGTCTGTGAGCTTCGTCCATTGTCAAGCTCGACAAAGGCAGTGCGGGGCTTCACATTGGCTGCATGCCAAGTGGCCGTGCCTTCACTGTGTCGGCAGCTCACACAGTCACTCACATTCCCCACGACACCAAGAAACCAGGCCTCACTGCACGTGATCAGCACACTGGTTTACTGTACAACCTCAAACGAATATGCCAGGGATATTATGAGAATGGTAACTAAATAAGGATTAAAAAAACGCACGGCACGTGGTAACTCGTTTCACGCATTTTGTTATGAGTTCAAAAAAAAGAGAGGGTGCTGAATTCAATATCGGGAATGTGATTAACAAATATTAAACAAATAATGGAGTCTAAGCGGTGATTTAGCGAAAAGCCAGCTAGGCGTAGTCTTTGGGATCGCGAGGTTTAACCCTGGTTCGGGGTTGTCAAACCCGGAACCACTACAATATACAATCGGGAGGCGAAATTGTCGGACCGAGCCTGGTTTTCCATAAGCTGGACTTGTACGCGCATAGTATGGCCTAGTAAATAGTTATGACAAAATCGTTACTCTTTGGTAACTCAACATTAGCGAATGATAACGGCAATTGTGAGTGGAAGCTACACGATAAATGGCCCCGCCCTTGTTGGGCGAAGGCGCTTGTGCAGTCGGGTGCGCGGGAAGGGTAGTCAGCTGCCTTCGGACCAGGGTCCACAATATCAACACCATCCCTGATTTCATGATGTTTTTATGCGTTTGCCCTGTAATTTTGAGATAATGTTGATTTTTACCCTGTTACTTCAGGATACTGTCTTATGTTTTGCTTGGAATTTCAAAGTGGCCGTGATATTTTGCCCTGAAGCGTCAGGATGAAAGTGATGAACGCCCTGACACGAATAAAGGATGGTGGAGGGGGGTGTGGGGGAGAAGGGAGGAACTGTGTTTGTTTTCCCCCTGAATCTGGTCCTGCATTGGCAAAATGATTCACGTTGCACATTTGTTTACGCATGCACTTGTACGGGATGTTCTCTCTGTCAGATTTATATGACAGAGCTACTGTCTGAGACCTCCCCAGCCTTGCTGTGGACGGGGAAGGTTGGCGATGCGTCTGCGTTCCGTGTCTGGGGATCTCGGGCGTTTGTCCGCGACTTGTCTGCGGACAAGCTGTCCCCTCGTGCTGCTCCTTGCGTCTTCCTTGGCTTCCCCCCTGACGCGCCAGGGTGGCAGTTCTACCACCCCACCTCTCGCCGTGTTCTGTCCTCCCAGGACGTCACGTTTGACGAGTCGGTCCCCTACTACCGCCTCTTCCCCTACCGCACTCCGTCCCTCCCCCCGCCACCGCTCTTCCTTGTACCAGGTCCCCCCCCGGTAGACCCCCTCCCCCCTCAGGGTCCTGCCCCTTCAGGTGTGTCCCAGGTAGACGCAGTCGAGCCTGTCGAGGTTACTGGTGACTCTGGTGCTGCTGAGGGTGCTGAGCCTGGGGGTGCTGACTCTGGGGGTGCTGAGCGTGTGGGTGCTACGCCTGGGGGTGCTGAGCCGGAGGGTGCTACTACTGGGGGTCCTGAGCCTGGGGGTGCTGAGCCTGGGGGTGCTACGCCTGGGGGTGCTGAGCCTGGGGGTGCGGAGCCTGAGGGAGCTGGGCCTGCTCGTGTGGCGTCTGGCGGTGCTGAGCCTGGAGGTTCTCCGGGTGCTTCGTCTCGGCGGGAGCCACTCTCTCCACAGGAGCTGCGCGAGTGGTTTGCCCGGCGCTGGAGGCATGCTGCTGGAGCTGGAGGTTCTTCGGCTGCTGAGGGTGCTGGTGCCGTGGGTCCCGGAGGTGCTCGTACTGGGAGTACTGGAGCTGCTGGGCCTGCGGGTACGACTGGAGCTGGAGCTGCTGAGGGTGTTGGCGCTGAGGCTACTACTGTCGGTCCTGGAGGCGGTCCTGCTGGGGGTACTACTGGTGCGGCTGGAGGTCCTGGAGCTGGAGGTGCTGCTGGCGCTGGTGCTGCCGCTGGGGGTACTGGTGCTGTCCCTGCTGTGTCTGGAGTCGCCGCGCGGCCTCGGCCGTACTTCGTTCCGCTCCTTCAGCAGGTTCTTGGTCTCCCGCCTTCTACTGGTCCTCCTCCTCCCTTAGAGTGTCCACAGCCTGTCCCGTCACAGTTCCAGTTACAGCCGGCCTCCCCACTGCCCGCTCCCTCTCCCTACACTGGTCCTACTGGAGGTCTTGCTGAGCGTCGTGAGCCTGCGTCCCGCCCTGCGTCGCCTGTCCGTGCTGCTCGCACTAGTGGTCGTGGTTCGCGTCAGCGTCCTCCTCCTGTCCCTGGCACACACCGGATGTCTCTGCGTCCGTCCACTGCTCCTCTGCGTGCCCCTTTGCCGTCTCCTCCTGAGTCCTCTCTTCCTGCTCTTCCCGACCCGGAGTCGGACTCTCTTCGTGCTGCCAGTCCTACTGTCACGCGTCTCCTTGCTACTGTTGTCACTGACCCTTCCTTTGAGTCCACTGCTGCGTCTGCCCTAGTTACTGAGCTCGTCGACTTTGCTGCTCGCTGTCGTCTAGACTACGCTGCTAGTCTTGTTGCTGAGTCTGTCTGTCCTCCGTCCGTCGGGGGTGAGTGTGCCCTTGGCACGGACGTCCTTGAGGACAGGCAAGAGGAGTTCCAGTGTTTGGCTGCTGCTTCACCTCATCTCGTGTCCGTACTGCTTACCCCTGAGGGAGACCCGGATGCACTTGACATCCCGACTCCGCGCTCTTACGCGGAGGCGATAGAGGGTCCCTACTCCTCTCAGTGGCAGGCAGCTATGGACGCAGAGATGGCTTCCTGGAAGTCCACAGGCACCTACGTCGACGAGGTTCCCCCGCCTGGGGCGAACATCGTCAGTGGCATGTGGATTTTCAGGGTGAAGCGGCCGCCGGGTTCTCCGCCTGTCTTCAAGGCGCGTTACGTGGCTCGTGGCTTTAGTCAGCGGCAGGGAGTTGACTACTTTCAGACCTTCTCTCCCACCCCGAAGATGACCACTCTTCGGGTACTGCTGCACGTAGCTGCTCACCGCGACTACGAGCTGCACTCTCTTGACTTCAGCACTGCTTTCTTGCAGGGTAGCCTGCACGAGGAGATCTGGCTGCGTCGCCCACCTGGCTTCACTGGGTCTTTTCCTCCTGGCACCCAGTGGAGCCTCCGGCGGCCAGTCTACGGTCTCCGCCAGGCACCGCGTGAGTGGCACGACACACTGAGGACTACACTTGCGGCTCTTGGGTTTGCTCCCTCTACTGCCGACCCGTCGCTGTTTCTGCGCACCGACACTTCTTTGCCGCCGTTCTACATCCTCGTGTACGTCGACGACTTGGTCTTTGCCACAGCTGACACTGCTGGACTCGCCCACGTGAAGTCCGAGCTGCAGAAGAGACACACGTGCACAGACCTGGGTGAACTGCGCAGCTACCTTGGCTTGCAGATCACCCGGGACAGAGCACGCCGCACCATTACCCTGACTCAGTCACACATGGTGCAGCAGGTCCTTCAGCGCTTCGGCTTCACGTACTCCTCGCCTCAGGCCACTCCTCTGCCTACTCGCCACTCGCTCTCAGCTCTGCCTTCGGATGAGTCCGTAGAGTCGAGTGGCCCGTACCCAGAGCTTGTTGGCTGCCTCATGTACCTGATGACCTGCACACGACCTGACCTTGCATACCCTCTTAGCATTCTCGCACGCTATGTTGCTCCTGGGAGACACAGACCGGAGCACATGGCTGCAGCGAAGAGGGTGTTGCGCTACTTGTGCAGTACGTCGGGCATGGGGCTTGTGCTTGGAGGGCAGAGTCCAGTGGTCCTCACTGGGCACGCAGACGCTTCTTGGGCTGACGACCAGGCTACACAGCGGTCGTCACAGGGTTACACCTTCAGCCTTGGTTCCGGTTCTGTTTCGTGGCGGGCTACCCGCTCGTCTTCTGTTCTCGGCTCCAGTTGTGAGGCTGAGATCTACGCTGGGGCCATGGCTGCACAGGAGCTTCGCTGGCTCACCTACCTGCTGACTGACCTCGGAGAGCCGCCTCGTTCTCCTCCAGTGCTGTACGTAGACAACAAGGCCATGCTGGCCTTGTGTCGAGAGCAGAGACTTGAGCACAGAACGAAGCACATTGCTCTCCGCTACTTCCTTGCTCGTGAGCTACAGCAGCGTGGTCAGCTGCGACTTGCGTACGTGGCCTCTCAGGCCAACACTGCTGATATCTTCACCAAGGCACTTGCGCCTTGTGATCATCAGCGTTTCTGTACTCAGCTGGGCCTTGTGCCTACCTTGCCTCACTTGCTCACCCCTTGGCCTTGTTTGTACTGTTGCATATATATATACACGTGCTCTTGCTTGTCTAGCCTTATATATATATGTAATCATGCATGTGAACTGGCCTTGCGGCCTTGAACTTGTGCTCGGAATGTGTGGTGACTTTGTGATCCACCCTGAGCTTGCTTTGCTTTGCTTGACTGGTCTTGTGACCCCTTCTTCTCCCCCACTTTGCCTATGGGGGTGTGTCAGATTTATATGACAGAGCTACTGTAGGCTATAGTGGGGTAGCACATATGGGGTACAGTTTTCTAGGGTTTGCATTTGTACCCAACTTTCCCTTAGTCATCCTCATTCCTGTTTTCTTAATTCACACTCTCGTTGGTACGCTGCATTACTAATCATGGACTTGCAATTCTTTTTTGCCCTGAGATATCACGATAAGGCCTACAGTTACCTTGAAACTTAAGGATTGCCATATGGTTTTACCCTGAAAAACCAGGGCATTTTTTCCCTTTTCAATAGTTGCCTTGAGGCCTCAGGGTGCCCTAAATCCTAGCACAGGTCCTGCCGCGGACTATGCGGGGACTGTACGCGGAACATCAACATGGTTAACATTTGCGGTTGGTGTCGACCTGGGCGGTCGACAAGCACGCGACGAGTTACCCGACCGACGAGGTTCTGCAGAATTGTGCGATCATCGTCCAGATTGTTGTGGCGAAGTCGACCAATACGGCAACACGTGATCGGCGTAGCTCATCAGACACAACTGTTGGCGTGCGGCCAATTTGGCATCTGGGTGATGTGCGTGACGGTGAACGGTGTGCTCAACCGTCTACAAACATATGCGAAGTGTATGTACGCATGTGCTGTCACCTGCGGTTGCAATACTGGCATGCCGCCCTGCTGCAGCATTTGCAAGCCGCCTTGGTGTAGCGCTAGCAAGCCACTGTCCTTGCTGGGTTGGCAAACCACATTTCTCCAGTGTTGGTGCGGTGCCAACCTGCAGCGCTGGCATGTCGCCAACTTTGCTGCGCTGGCGATCGACCTCCCTGTTTGCTAGGCTGCATTGCATCTGATGTAGTTGTTGTAGCTATTGCAACTATCTATCATTGTTGTTCTCAACTTTTGCTAGTGAACTTCTAAATGTTTTGGGCTGTTAACTCACAAGTGCTAGAGAACACAAGCTAATCCACAACCACTCCAACCACTCGTGCCTCCACCTATAGTTCAGCTCCCACCGGTGTAGAGTGACTCTCCGCAGGAAGAACCCCCCCCCCCCCCCTCCCCCCCCCCGCCCCCTCGCCCCTGTAAATACTAATACGGAATATATATTTGAGTAGAAAACCGAGCCATTTTACCTTACAAAAAAGTCAATAACGATCAACAATCAATAACAGCAACAACAACAACAACAACAACAACAACAACAACAACAACAACAACAACAACAACAACAACAACAACAACAACAACAACAACAACAACAACAACAACAACAACAACAACAACAACAACAGTGACAACGACAACAACAGCGACAACGACAACGATAACAGCAGCGACAACGACAACGATAACAGCAACAACAACAACAACCATCACAGCAACAACAACAACAACAACAACAACAACAACAACAACAACAACAACAACAACAACAACAACAACAACAACAACAACAACAACAACAACAACAACAAAACAACAACAACAACAACAACAACAACAACCACAACAACAACAACAACAACAACAACAACAACAACAACAACAACAACAACAACAACAACAACAACAACAACAACAACAACTGTAGCTTGACTCGTTTGCAAAACGAGCGGAAGTTGGCCCAGTACGGTTCGTAGGTGCGAATCGTTGAGTCGGCCCGTGTATGTGTGGTTATCCGGAGCAATTCTTGCTTGAGCCGCTCAAGTAATCCTACACCAGTTACGTGAAAGGTCAGGTGACGAACGACACTCGTAAGGCGATAATTGGGCTATGAGGCAATCCATCGCCAGAGAAAGCACTAGTGTGGGTGCCTGCGGTGAGGCATTGGCTCCCATGGCTGAGGTGGATATGAGCGGTAATACAAGGGGCCCACATAGGCGGGGCGGGTTGTAGCAATGGCCACCAGCTTGCTCCGGGCCAGTGAGGCACGACAAGCGTGAGCGATGCTCGCGTCCGTTGGGCATGGTGCAGCACTGCTGGGACGATGTGGGGTGGTGGAAAGGCGTATCCCTGCTCGATGTCCCACCGAATGGAGAAGGCGTCGATGGCCTCTGCGTCAGGGTGAGGTATTTTAGAGCAGAAGCGGCCCAGCTGTGTGTTGTTCCCGTTGGCGAATAAATCGATGGAGTGCGGCCCCAAACGTCGCTCGATGAGGCGGGACCATGGTGCTTTGATTGAGTTGTCGTCTCGATAGACCATTTTGGAGAGTTCGTCCGCTCGTGTGTTGAGTTCGCGTGGGATCCATTCGACCATCAGGCGAGTCCTCAATGCCATGCACGTTTGAATAATGGCTCTGCATGTTGTGGTGAGGCTGGGGCTTCGCGACCCGCCCTTACGAAGAATGAAAAATACCCCTTGATTATTAGTTCTGGCTAGGACGTGTCGATTGTCTATCCCTTCCGAGAACGTCCGGAGAGCCCATAGCACTCCGTCCATTTCCCGTTGCGTGCTGGAGGCCGTTCTGAGGTGCTCAGGCATGGTCGCGTTTGCCTCGATTCTCTTTTCTGGAAACGTGTCAAGTGTTGCTCCCCAGCTGTGTGCGCTGGCGTCCACATGGATCACTGCATCGTAGCTGCGCGGAACATGGAATGGGGCGCCATTGAAGTTGTCGAATTCTTGCAACCAAAACTCGAGTTCCTCGATGACGGCAGGGACCAATGGCACCTTGCTGTTCCAGGAAGGTGCCTCCTGGATGGTATGCAACAGGTTCTGGCTAAATGCGCGTGCGGTTGCCCCAATGGCGAGTGACATCGATGCGAGCATGCCAGTGACTCTTGCGATGTGGCGGATCAGGACCTTGCGCTTGGCCTTGCCTGCCATGCATAGTTCTTGAATGGTCGAGCGTAACGATGCACGCCGCTCGGGACCGATGGAGAACTGTCCTCGCTTCGTACCCAGTTCAACACCCAGAAAGCGCAGCTGCTGGATAGGCTGCAGATGTGATTTCTTGGAATTGATGACTAATCCTTCCTTGTTGAGGTCCTGCACCACCATCTGACCCGTGGTTCGAGCCTCTGCTTCCGTGTTGCACAAGAACAGGATATCGTCCACATATAGGATGACTCGCACCCCGAGGGCCCGCCAACGACGGGCGAGCTGCTTGATCAGTTGAGTGAAAACGAATGGGGCTGTCGCCAGGCCGAACGGGAGGGACCGAAAGACGTATGAGCGTCCGTCGTATTGGAATCCCAGAAACTTCCAACAGGATGGGTGGATGTCCACATGGTGGTATCCCGATTTGAGGTCGACCGCGAACATCCAATCGCCTATGCGAACAAGCTCCGCCACCCGACTCAATCTCTCGTACTTGAATTTGGGGATGCGCAGATTTTGATTAACCCTTCGGAGGTCCAGAATCAGGCGGCATTTGTCCCGCTTGACTACCACATTTAGTGGGCTTATGCATATCTCTTGGGTTGCGGGGGCGAGAGTAGCCGCGCCACTATCGATGAGCTCGGCTATGGCCTGCTTGGTGAACTTGGAGTGGGATAACGCCCCCGCATGATTGTCTTGCTGAAACGGCATGGGGGGTCCCTCCTTCCATGGCATCCAATAGCCATTCAAAACCACTGAGAATATGAAGCTACTCTCGCACCATGAGCTCCACCACGGAAAAGCCGCGCGCAAGCGCCCGCGCATGGTCGTGACGAGCTTGTCGGTGACCGCGACCTCATACAGGTCATGCTCCGCGATTGATCCGCTATCCGGTGTATCAGTGGACCATGGGGTTTGGAGGCAACATGGGACACTCCTTATAAGCAAGGGTCTGCGGCGGTGTACGTTCCGCGTGACATTCTATCTCTTTCTCTCTTCTCTTTTGAAACCTTGTCCTACACTTGAGACCTTTTGCATGCCTGACAAGTACTCGGGTGTCCCGCCGTGTGCCTAACACTGAGGCGCTCATCGAGCAACTCCTTGTTTGGTTTGCTCGTTCCATTGAACCATCAGACTTGCGCTCATTTCCTCTCTCCTTTTTTTTTTTTTTTTTTTTTTTGTCGCATGACCATTCTTGCCACGCACCAGGTTTGTTGCTTGGCCATCCTTGCTGCCTTCCCTTGCTTGTATGCCATAAAACCTTGCCATGCGGTGTGAGCCTCTGGCATCATTGGACTCTTCAAGTCCCACCCTTTTTTCTTCTTCTTCTTCTTCTTCTTCTTCTTCTTCTTCTTCTTCTTCTTCTTCTTCTTCTTCTTCTTCTTCTTCTTCTTCTTCTTCTTCTTCTTCTTCTTCTTCTTCTTCTTCTTCTTCTTCTTCTTCCTTTCTCTCTTCCTTAATGTGCTCGCGTTCGATCCTGACGGCCGTCCAGTAGAGTTCGCCACCTGGCTCGACGACCTGCAACTGTTCCTCCTGATTGATGCCAAGGACGATGTTTCCCTGTTCGATTAGGTGTCTTGCACTGCCGTTGCTCCTGCTGACACTAAGCCTGCTCTAGACCGCTCCCAGTGGCAGACCCGCGATGCTGCTGCGCGCCTAGCTATTCGCAACCATCTGCCGATCACAGAGCGCATGCATTTTAGCCAGCACA